CTTCCCCACTCCCCCACTCTAGGCCATCTTCTCTCTCTCCTACCCGTCTTATCTCAGTTCCTCAGTCCTATGGCTGCTGGCTCCCTCTCTCTCTCTTTTTCTCTCACCTCACCCACTCCCCTCTCTTCTCTCTCTCTCTCTCTCTCTCTCTCTCTCTCCCTCTCCCCATTTGCCTCGATCCCAGCCGCTCAGGATCAAGAGAGTGTGTGTTATTTTATCTGACAGGATTGTGCGTGTATGTGTGACTTTGTGAATGTTTTTCACTCTATATGGTATTAACCCTCTCCTGACTTTCCTTCAGAGAACATGTGATGCACTACTCATCATAATGAAACATTTTTTTTCTTCAAGTGGCCATTTTCATGCCTTGCTGAGTGTTTTTATCGCAGCTCATCATCTCTTGTGTATTAGAACTTGTGCCTGTAATCGTGTGCTTGCTGGCAGAATTAATATTTGTGTGTAAAGAAGTTCTTGGGTTTAACATCTCACATCCTCGTCTCTCATCACTTCAGTTTTGTGTTCTCTCTCCTTCCACCTTTTCTGCCTCTTTTTTTCAAGAACAAAAACAGTGTCATCACATTTTGTGGTACCGAGAGTCAAATTCAGGTCATTTAGAGAAACACTTTGCTCTGCTTGTACCCTGTCGCGTCTTTCACAATTTCTCCGAGCTGATTTTTGAGAAGTGTCTAATTCACAAAAGGAAGAAAAGGAAAATGATTCAGTGGTTGAATCCTTAATTCTTAGGTGGGAGTTTCCACCAAACCCTCTAATCCCTCATCCTCGAAGATGTTTAAACATCGCTGCAGCGAAATGAACCCGTGGGATTGTACAGAATCTCACTTTCCTTCAGTCTACCTTTTTACCTCATTCCTTCCTGCTTCTCTTTTTTCCAGCTCACTTTCTTTTTCATCCCATCTGTTAGTTTAACCTTGTTTAAACCTGGTCTTAACATGCACCCTTTTTTAAAATGAGCACGTTTACATAGAATCAGGCTGTAAATTCACTCATTTTGTCCTGATGATGAACAAGAAGATCTTGAAAACAGAACCACTTGGTTTTTTTACAGTTAAATTAAATTTTCTCATTGAAAAATGCTGGATGTGGAATTTTACTGTCCGATTCAAACTGTTGTAAAAAATATTTCAGAAATCCTCTTCTCTTATTGGGTGTATTTTAATTTCAGGTGTTCAGCTGAACGCCACAGACGCGCAGCTAAAGCTCGAGCTAACGCGGACAGCCTCTTGTTCTCCCCTCACAGCTGGTGGCGAGTTCGGCTCGGCGTCCCTCGGTTGCTCTCACAGTCCGGAGGTTCAGGCTCGCCTGGAGAGCGGGCCCTGCGCTGCCGCCCACTCCCCGCTGGCCGAACGCAACGGCTTCCTGCAGCTGCGTCTCCAAGGATACCGAGCAAGCCTCCTAATGTCCACAATGCGCAACCTGGCGCACTTTCTGGAGGACGACTCTGCGCCGCAGGTGCTGCCCATGGAGATCAGGGTCAGGAACACGCATGTAAACTTAAAGGTGAGGATCTGGGATGTTTTCAGTCATGCACACTATTCGAGTTTGGATTCTTCTTTTACTTGAACTGCTGTACCCAACATTTACTTAATGTCTTTCAGGATGATGGCACCCGAGACAATCCCTCCGACGTTGAGCCCTCTCCGATCACCTTAAACGTGGACAGTCTCATCATACACAGGAGAGACGACGGCTCTTTCTCTATAGGAGGTAACGAACGCACACGCACACTCACATACACGCACACTCACACACAGCCAGATATTTCCACCTCCACCTCAGGGCTGATTCACATCAGTTACACAACACGTTCCTATTAAATGCTTCTAAATTCACACTCGGCTCCTTCACACCTACAAATTCCCTCCTGTCGTCTCTTCCTCCTCTCAGTGGACGGAGCGACGGAGGCCAAACCCATAAAAGAGGGCGGGTTGATTGACAGCTCACTGATTCCGTGCCCTGCGGCTGTGGGAGGCGTCTGCAGCGTATCAAAGGCTACGCAAACCCAAGCCCCGCCCACCAGCCCTCCTCCATCAACCAGGGAAAAGGTGAGACACAAAGCACGAGCGTTCTGTGAAAACACGTGGGAGTAAAGTGTGGGTACGCGACTCTAGCCAGGGTTTGGACAAACATTTTGAAATGATATTCAGGTTCGGGTCGGTTTGTTCACGTCAGATATGACTGAATGTCCACCGCAGCATCTGCACACAATCTTCAATGAGAACATTTCACTTAAATTCATGTAGCTGCTCAGATCTTTGCTCCCATTTCTCGTTTCTGTTCCTCCAACAAAGATAAACTGCGGAGTAAGAAAGACCTTTTTGTTTGTCTGATCATTCTGGAGGCTGATATCAAAAGATGGAGTGCCAAATTATTTTGCCAAGCTAGTCCAGTATCTTGTTTGGCTTTCAGTTTATTTACAGTGGGAGCGATATTTTTCAGTTTATGCAAAAAACAAGTAGTACATCTTCATGTAACAGTTGCATAATACTATTACTCTTCCTATAATTTCATGCTTCTATCTGAAAGGACAACTTTGTTACTTTGAATTTATGAACTCAAACTATTTGGCTATAGTTTGAAAATGATTGTACTCTTTGTTTAAAGAACCCTAAGGTTGAGGCGATGCAGCTGCAGTGATGCAGATGTTTACTTCAAGTTGTTACATGATAATGTAAAAACGTCCTGACATATTCCAAACCTGGAACTCATTCCATTTGGTCTTAGGGACAAAGAATGTTTGTCACTAAATCATTTAAATAATCAGACCAAAAAATATTTTTACTGGCAGAGGTGTACGCTCCACTGTGTGACAGTCTACACACACACACACACACAAACACTGACTCCTCTCCATGGCGACTTCTTCATTGTTTGTTTCCAGATGCTGGCGGACGAGAACGAGTGTTTGAAGGTGGAGCTGTCGCGAGCCAAGATGGCGCTGGCCGAGGCTCAGATGGAAAAGGACTCGCTGGTTCACCGCATGAAGAACCTCAAAGTCAACAGCAGCTAGGCCCGGCTCTGTCCTCGTTTACCTCGACAGGGAGACCCACGCAGACGAGCGAGAGCGAGGCTCGGCAGAATAATTCAAGGCAACATGAACAAGTCAAGAAAAAGGGAAAGCGGCTCCCTTTACCCGCTTATTTGTCGATTGAGCCTCCATGTGACTTTAGACTTCAAAATAATTCCTTCATAAAGCAATGCAGAGTCTGTGGGAAGACTCAAAAATACACAGTTTAACTCGCTTGTTGTCTGTTTAATGTTCTCCACTTTGGACGGTGGAGGTTCGGAGAGTGGAAACGGGAGGAATGACATTTAGTCGGACTGTGTGTGTGTGTGTGTGTGTGTGTGTGTGTGTGTGAGAGTGTGAAAGAAGAAAGAAAAAGGACGAGGATCTGAATCTGTGGTTGTCGACAGAAAGTCCCCCCCAAACTTCTGTCGTCTAAGTTAAAACAAAGCAAAAAAAAGAAATCACAGCTCATCGTAGACGGGCCTCATTTAGATGTGTGTGTGTGTGTGTGTGTGTGTGTGTGTGTGCGTGTGTGTGTGTGTGTTAATTAACACTGAATGTCGGATCTTCAGAGGAATGTCTCAAAAAATCATATTGCACTGCGCTCAAATGAAACTCGTGTTTTAGCGCTTTCATATTCAGAGGGGACGCGTCGCGCTCTCACTCGTCCTCCGAGCGTGTACAGTGTATATTGTGTAAGAATTTTCTACAGAACTTTGAATGCAGTGTTTCACTTGAATGTGTGTCTGTGTATCAGCCAGAACAAGCATTTCATTACAATTAGATGAAGAGTTTCTCTCCGTCGGTTCTCGCCCCCTCACTCGTCCGCGTCCCTCCTCCTATTTTTCTACGTGTAAATAGCTACGAAACCTTGAGCAGCACTTTTTAAAAAAAACAGAGGCACTGTAAACGCAACAATCAGAACTGTGAGAGTCGAGCCGACGAACGGAGAGCAGTTCACGAAAACGTCACACGTAGACTGTAAATAAAGATGGAGGACATGACGGCTGTCCAGGAGTGAGGTGCAGAGTGCCTCGATTCTCCCTCTGGTATAACTCCTGCCTTCTCCATGTTAACAGGTGGGACTTGGGCCGAACTAAAACTTCAAATATGGTTTCTGTCACGGCTCCACCCCCCACGATCACTGCTGCGCCGACTCTGGCTATAAATGACGTTGAAGGCTCAAGATGGCGGCGTTCATATCTGAGATATTTTCTGGGTAGAGGGAGGAGACGCGTTGTTCGTCTTTATTTACAGTTTGACGTCGCCCATGTTTTTTCCTTCAGGAAAAAAAGAGGCGTAAATAAAGGCACATTCAAGGTGACTGACGTGTGTGTGTTTGTTAATTCCTAATATTATTAATGAATATGACCGTATCTGCTGCTGTTCACGCTTCGTGCTGATGTGACGACTTCAGCCAAAAGTCGATGTTAATATAAAATTTAAGAAAATTTTAACTGCACAAAAGATGACAGGATAAAAAAACTCTGAAGTAACGTTAACGTTCAGTTCATCCATCAGTTTACAAAAGTGTCACAACTTGCGCTTTTAGTCCATTTTCTGTTTTTAGCCAATTCTTCTGGTTCACGACTTGTTCTCCGAAATGCAACCGGATGTGAAGACTTGTTGGTGGAGAACAGAAAGATTTTTCTTTTATTTTCACCTTCATGTTTCCTGCGTTCATCACAGCCCTCCTCCTCCCTCTCTGGAAGCCTGTGGAGGAAGAAAAAAGACAAAGAAGTAATAAATCGTATTTTGTCTGTCAAAGCTGCTGAAACACTGAAAATAAAAGAGAATCTGATTTAAAGGTTTTAACTTTGGGTGTTTCTTCTTCTTTCCTCTTAATCACATGTCGTTATAGATTATTAGGACCAGACATTTTTCCTTACACAGTTAGAAAATAGAGCCGACTCCTCTGGTCCATCAAATCCATGCAATTTCCAAGTTTGTGTAGTTTCTCCTGGACAGTTTTTGTTTCATCTCGTTTACTGATCACCAAACTATCAGTGTGAGAAAACGTATGATTTCATCAGTTCATCTCAGTTTATTTTTTTTTACAAATTATTTACGTTTGCTAACTTTTCACCGCTCAGACATGAACAGATTAACCAGCAGATAAGATTCAGCGCTTATGTTCAGTAAGAATGTAAAAGATTGTGTTGCAGATTAAAGCGTCTTTAAATATAAGTTCAGCCTCTGTGAGCTGCACTGAACCGCTGCAGGAGAGAGTTTGGACTTTGTGCACATAAATGGTCATGACATTTTACGACAGGAGTTGTGCACTGTGAGTCACTGTGTGTGTGTGTGTGTGTGTGAGAGAGAGAGAGAGAGAGAAATATGTTCTGCTCTGCTGCTGAAAAACTGTTTACACACTGAAGCTTAATGTTTCTGTGATGACGACTGTGTCACAGTTCAGGAGCGTTTATGTATATACTGTGTGTGTGTGTGTGTGTGTGTGTGTGTGTGTGCACAGGACAGTAGAGGGGATGGATAGTTTGAATTTATCAATTCATTTGAAACATAACAGCTTTTTAAATGTGACGTTTGCTTCTTTTCTCTGTTTTATAAATGGCCTTTTTCTCTACTATCTATAAAATCTGTTGACTGAGAGATAACGAGATTAAACAATAAAGAGATGATTCAATAAAAGCCTCGGTCTGACTCCCACCCAGGCAGCGTTTACCTCCAGGAGTAGAGCTGTAGGCTTGTGTGTGTGTGCAACGTTCCTGAGAGACAAACTGACACATTTTTATTAAAGCGATTATAAAAACTTGATCATGTTATTAAATTATTTACCCTCAAAAAATGGAAATAGTTTAAGTTTTTTTAAATTTGCAGATGATGTGTTATGTGAAAAAAACATGACCATTAGTGAATTGATAAAAAGTTAATCCAACAATAATCTAGATGATCAATTAGGTGCATTTTCTTGTCTCTAACCCTTGATTGAAACAATTAAACTTTATTGATTAAAAACAATCTGCATTAAAAATAGTTAAGCTCTGAAATCAACTGACTGAGCTACAGCTGCTTTTTATGAGGTGAGAAGTCACAGCAGCTGCAGGTGGAGGCACAAACATCTTCACAAATTCCAATTAAACAGCAGAGAGGCAGGTCCCAGCATGCACCGTGTGTGTGTGTGTGTGTGTGTGTGTGTGTGTGTGTTCCTCCACAGATCACACACATTCAAGCTCATCCTCTTCATCCATTCTCCATCCACACATGACACATTCATCTATTTCAGGCCCTCACCTGGTTCCTCGTGCACTCAGCTGCAGCCGTGAACGCGAGCACTGCGCATGCACGTGTGCCCCCCAGTGTAATGCAGAAAGTTTGAGGAGACAATGAATGTGACTTCTCACAGATTCATAACAAAGGCCTGTTGGAGCTGTGTGTCCTCCACACCCAGCCTGCACTGAGGGTCTGCACGTCAAGAGACACACACTGCCACAGGAAGTCGTGAGTGCGGGGATTTCAAAATAAAAGCATCAAAGAGGCCTCAGGGTATATGTGAGCTACAAGATCATAATCGGATATTAAGACGACAAATATGTAAAGCATGTGTGTGGTTTTGATCATTAGTAAATCATTAGGTAAATAATGGCTCCTGCTTTATTACCCAGTCACGTCACCCAGTGTGATGATTTCATTTCTATATTTTTGTGCTGGATTTGGTCATTTTTGTATTTGTATTTTTATACCCACGAGTCTGAAATCATGCTTAACTAACTAAAGTATGGTTTTGTGCTTACATTTATATTCTTAAATAAAAATAAAAAGTCTGAGGTCCAGTATTACACCATTATAGAAATACTATTTAACACTATACTCAAAGGGAGAGGTTATTTGTTGCTGGTCGCCATGGGGCCCACAGCAGATTTTTCTGGTCTTGCTTTTGAAATACATCTTTGAAAAAGTCTCTAATTCAACCAACATTTCTACATATTTTAAACAATCTGATCATATTTGCAATGATAATAACTCTTCTTGAGTTAATTCATTCCGTTTATCAATGACCACAATAAATTTGATCCAGAACAATAAAGAACCAAAGAAAATAAATGTATAGATGAACAGCTTATTACTCCAACCCTTCATACACACACTTCATTTTATTTTCAACCCTTTAATATGTGCAGCTTGGCCAATACTATTAAAACTTTTATATTCTATTTATCTTTACTTTCATGATTCCACAGCTTCTGAAGTTTCTTTAATTCAAACCGCATCTTGGTCACAGACCGTCAGTGAAGGCTCCAGCACATCCGGAAATGGCAGCTCTTGTTGTGAAAGCAGTAACCGGAACTCGGTGACCTGATGGGGTCCAGCCTGACACGTGTCTCCTCTGCCTCAGTGCGGTTCCTCCCGGTGCAGGTGACGAGTGCAGCGGGACCGAGGAGCTTCTCACAGCGGGGAACAGGCGCTCAGCTCCAGCTTGTCTTCAGCAGGAGCTTCGGTCCAGTCTGCAGGTTCCGCTCGCACAAAGAAGGAGTTTGTGTTTTTCTCTTCTTTCTGCTTTTTCTCCTCCTCGGTTCACTTCGCTCTTTCTCTGCGGAGCCCCCGGTCGGTTCCTCCCCCCTCTCCAGCAGCTCGGCTCTCCGCTGAGGTTACGCCGGCGAGCAGCGCGCGTCAGCCGGGACAGCGCCGGAGGAGGAGCCGGAGCCGCCGAGCGGACGGAGGTTAGCGGGCACCGGGGGAGCACCGTGCACAGGCGGCGGCAGCATGCAGTGACAGGGATGCTCTCCCCCCGCAGACACTGAGGGACGGAGCTGCTTGTGGAGCTGGAGGATTTATGGGAGATATTTGACGGATTTCCCCCGTCGTTGCAAACTTGTGTCCGGGATGGGGAAGGAGCAGGAGCTGCTGGAAGCTGCCCGGACCGGGAACGTCGTCCTGGTGGAGAAACTGTTGAGTGGGAGGAAGGGGATCCTGGGGTCCGGGTCCGGCTCCATCCCCCTGCCCAACCTGCTCAGGTAAGAGAGAGAGAGAGAGTGTGTGTGTGTGTGTGTGTGTGTGTGTGTGTGTGTGTGTGTGTTGTGGAACAGTCACATTATGGGAGCTTGGTTTTAAGAATAGGTTAAGTTAAGGTTAGGGTTAAGTTGTAACTATGGTTAGTTTAGGTTATGGCTAAGGTTAGGCTAATGTTTAGGTTAGGGTTATGTTAAGGTTATGTTAAGTTTAGGTTTAAGTTAAGGTTAGGTTAGGATTAGGGTTTAGGCAAAGTTTAGGGATAAGTTAAGGTTCTGGTTAGGTTAAGTTTAGGGTTAAGCAAGTAGTAACTATAGTTAAAGTTTGGGTTAGGTTTCTGTTATCGCTAAGGTTAGGCTTAGGTTAAGGTCAGGGTTTAGCTCAAGGTTTAGGCAAGAAGATGCTATGGTTATGGTTAGAGTGTGTGTATGTGTGTGTGTG